GCATCTGCAATGCAGCAGGAATTATACAGGGGAGGCCTGGCTAGTTTTACGCCTCGCAGTAGATTTTTATCATCAGCTGAAATAGGAGGCGAGTTCCCATGTAAAAGCCATTCCCTTTATTTACTTATTAAAATTTCTAGCATCCTGTCCTGTGATTCTTTTTTTCTAATTTATTTTTTTTATTGTAGTTGATTTACACAATGTTGTGTTAGTTTCAGGTGTACAGCAAAGTGATTCAGACACACACACACACACACACACACACACACACACACACACACACAAAACCTATCTCTCTCTCCCTCTCTCTCTCTCTCTCTCTCTCTCTCTCTATATATATATACCCATATATTCCTTTTCAGATTGTTCCCCCCATGTAGGTTATTAAATAATATCTCTTACGATGTTCTCCTTTCCTATTGTTGCTGAGACAGGTTTTTTTCCAAAGACAGACAGTTAAACAAGCGTTTACAGACACAAAAGGGGTTACCTAGCCTGGTGAGTTTGCGAAATTCTGGGTCAGGACGTTTCTTTAAGCACGACTTGGCACCCCTACTATGCCTTGTAAACCTCGAAGGGAGAGAGGGAGTCCTTGTAGCCCCACGAACGCTGATGTTTCAGGAAACACCAGTTGGGATACACTGGTATCAACCTGAGCTCTTAGACAGAACTTTCTGGAATGTGCTAGTACAAGCGAGAAACTGTTCTTACTGAATTTTAATAAAAAGGAAAGTTGTACTAAAATAGCCACATATAGCCACTGGCTACACCACACTGGGACAGGCTAACTCAACTCCAGGATGAAACTTCACGGATGGGAACTACTGCTGAGAGGTTTGGCCTGTGACTCGTATTACAAAGAGTGGCACCGGATCCAGTAAACATCCATTTAGTTCCATTAGTTGGCAGAGACTAATCTTTGAAAGCTTTCTCTGTCACCTTCATTAAACTCTATCCAATATAGGGCTGGAATCATTTGTTTAAAAAAGAATATGGCATAGGAGAGATCTGGAACCGTAAAACATTTTAATTTTCTTCCTTCCAGTTTCAAATGCGTAGTAACAAAATGGAATAATCCAATGCTTCAAGTCCGGATGCACACACTAGTTATTTGCAGGAGCACAGAGGAAAATGAACGAGCCCTGTTTCGGTCCTTCCTTCCTTCTTTCTTTCTTTCTTTCTTTCTTTCTTTCTTTCTTTCTTTCTATCTGTTTCGCCTGCACCTTGAAGTGCTTCTCTGATTAATAACTGGAAACATGAGCCTGCCCCCCTTTGCAAAAGCTCGTTGCTACTGAAATACTAAGTCTGGCTACACTCAAGAACTTGGTTGTTTTCGACAGAGTTCTTACAGTTTACCCAGAACTGCCCTCTGAGGAACTTGGAGCTGCCCCCAATCCAAGAAAGTTTGGCAAAGTAGCCTTACTTGGTATCACTATCTCAAACCAGATTGTGAATCACTTAACAAATTAAGTCTGGTTCACCACTGCAACAGTCCTAAGTCCAAGACGTTATTTGTGGAAAGTATTAAAAACGAGATTCCTCTGAGATCATAATCAAAGATTAAAAGAGAGTTCTAATTTGTTGGGAAGACTCAACCTTACTCATACCCTAGTAATGAGAAATATCAAATATCGTTGAGAAAGTATTAATGGAAAAACATAAACATGGCACTGGAAACTGAACGCTGGGTTGCAAGCTTTTGGTTGGGCTTTTCTTTTTTTCCCCCTCCCTTGAAATGCTGACTCAGCCAACACCAGGCCGCCGCCGCCGCCGCCGCCGCCGCCCCCCCCGAGATCCTTCGACTACTCTACAATGCCACTTTACTCACATACCAAGGTTCTGTATGTTTGGGGGCCTTTTTTTTTTTTTTTTTTTTTTTAGTGCTGGAAACTTGACTTCGTGACACACATTTGCAAACTAAGTGCTCACGGTCTAGCGTAGCAGCCCCGGGATGGAGCAGATCTGGGAAGGCTGGGGCTGACCTCCTCTTTGCCTTGGGCCTTCATCACTGACCGAGTACAGGAACAGCGTGTCTAAGCATCAGCCCCAGCAACGGGTCAAGGAAATCAGCGCACGGAAGGCTAATGCTCATCAATATACAGCTTTTAAAATTCAGATGCTCTTAGGCTTCAGAGTATCCAAACGCTCGGGAAAGTCATGGGTACCATTTGTAAAAACCACGCTGTGAACCCCCTGCCACCACCTGGTCTCGCTGAAGTCTCATACCATCACGAATACTTGAGATGTTGTTACTCACGTTTCACAGATAAGCAAACACAGGCTCACGGGAGATTAAATAACGTGCCCATATTCACAACCTGGACTCAAAATCACATACACACTGGTGATTCTAGGCCCTCTGTGTAATAGTCTCCTTACGCCCAGGTAACGGGAACCATAAACAGTATCCGGGTTCATTTTTCTGCATGCTCATTTCTGGAAGGGACCTGGGCATTAGCTTTTATCCCTGCTTATAACTGACATTCAGTAAATCTTCCCCAGCAAACATATGGCAATGGGAACTGAAACGACAAAAGAAGGAACAGAACAGACAGCTGCTGCCCTCGAAGGGCTTACCGGTAGTCAAATGCAGACACTGATCAAAGGAAAACAGGCAGAGCGACCGTAAAACAATTCCGAGAACTAACTCTGCTTCTGGGCTCTTCGGTTGAAGAACAGTACCCTCAACACCACGGCGTTCTTTAAAAGGTAACGAAAATTATAAATACAGCGTCCTCGGGGAATATGCACGCTCCTTTCCAGTTCTGTGAGGAAGATCACCAGATCCACTGGGTTCTAGTTAATTGCCCAAACCCCAAACTCCTGGAAACATTCAGCAAGTGCAGGCCCATCTCTTGGGAGCTCACCTACAAGAACAGACAAGCCCCACGATACGGGTACAAAGTCATAAAACATGAAAAGAATGTCATTCATGCAGCCTTAATACTTGGACTGTTTCTACTGAAAAAGCAACAGTCGGGAAGAAAATCCCTCCCGTTTAGCACGATCCACGAAGAAAGAGATGCAGCTGAATTTTCTGGAGGCTCTGAAACACAGGTACCAAGTGGAAATCAACACCAAGCCAGAAGAGAGCAGAGAGGGTTTTTTTTTTCTTTTTTTTTTTCTTTTCTTTTTTTTTTTTTTACCAGGCTTGACAAATGACACCGTGATTCACACCCACTGCTGGGCTGTCTCTAATAAGCCACAGAGGAAGTAGCCAATCTCGGCTAATTACCAGATAAAAATGTATTGTAAGGACGCTAATTAGGAGACGCAGATGGAGGTGATCTAATGATTAAATGCTGCGTTCGACTGACCCCACCATCAACGTGCAGTGGTGCAAGATGTCACTGGAATATTTTGTAGAAACAGTAATTTTACTTCGAGGAGGGGAGGCAGTAATATTTGTAATGATGGCTATGAGGTAAACTAATTAAAAGACAGTTCCTAGAGGAAGAGGGTGGCTGAGAGCAGCTGTGGCCATTCCAGAACCAAGTGCCAAGTCTCCACAGAGGAACTGCAGTCAAGTGGAAAATTTCTGCCTGACCTCTGCCCCTGCTATTAATTTGCAGGAAAACTAATGACACATATACATATTCCCATAGAATTGTTCTAATTGCTAATTTGCCAAAGGAGCCCGGATTCCAAATTAAACACGACTGTAGCCTGCGAGGGAAGAAAGAACAAAAAGCGGTAAACTCCAAACACAGGGCGCTTCGACTCGCCAAATCATCTGAAGGCTGAACCAACAAGTTAATGAAATGTCAACCTTGTCAACGGCGATCGAAGTTTCTTAACTTTTCAACTCCGGCTGGATGATCACATGCTGGTCTCGAGGAGAAACCATCTTTGGGGAGGAAGGTCACGAGGGAGTGATAAGATGCAGCAGGGGGAAGGTTTCAAGATAGGCTCTGCTTTCAAACCAGACCTGCTCTTTTCATTAAGGTCTCTCTCTGCAAAAACTGGGCCCCCTACGCCCCCCCAGCACACACACACACAAATTAATTACAGACTTAGAACAGCAGAGCAAACCGGGAACGGTGAGGGGTGTGCGGCAATCTTGCAAGATTCACCCGAACTGTAAACTATTAAAACTTAATAATGTAATCGTCAATTAGAAATGAAAGCACGTGTGCTTCGTGTTTCTGACTGTAGCTCAGGTTGGAAGAGAGAATTTTTTTCTTCCGGGGCCTGGAACAGGAAGGGATGGGGACTCTGGGAGGGTTTCTCTTCCTATTTTTCAGATTGTGTTCATTTTCTATTTAAAAAGAAGTTGCTATGTTTAGAAAAGTTAGTAACTCTGATATTTTCTACGTGGCAAGTTTCCATC